GACTTGCATTTATGACGGTCGCAGTGTTCTGTCCTCACACAATCCCCTTTTGCAACAAGCCAAGTCCATGGGGAAAGCCCGATTCCCTCAACCTCCCTTCATCGCTGTCTCACTTAGCAATGGAAGTGTTGGGCTCCATTGCAGTCATAAGGCGAGGAAACAAGCCTGGGGGTTTTTGTGCCTGCAAACACAACAGAGGGGGGAAAGCGAAGGAGGCCAGAGAGTAATTTCAGAGAGGAGGAGTTGTGGGTGGTGTCAAGTTACTCACTGTGTGGGAAGGAGAGGATGGGGTGGAAGCCGGAGTCCAGCAGAGCGATCCGTTCCTCCAAAGACGTGGCCTCCGGGTCGACGGTCGGCAGCGAAGCCTTGAAGCCACACAAAACGCAGGAGTTGGGCTGCTCACAGGTGCACTTCAGGCTGAGAGGCTTTGGCGGCTGCGGGGCGAGAGAGGACACAGTGATGACGACAAATGACAATGACAACTACCAGAACAGCTCTTAGGTTCCCCCTGGGTTAGGCCTTGAAAGGGGTGTTTCATCGCTGGAGGATTTTAAGAAAACTGACGGAATAGCCAGTTGTCTGAAATGGGCGACGGTCTCCCGCTGGAGTAAGGGGTTGGTCTACAGGGCCTCCGAGGTCCCTTCCGACTGTCATTCTGTGATTCTGTAAGGATCTTCTGCTTGAGCAGGGGGTTGGACTAGCTGACTTCCAAGGTCCCTTCCGACTCTGTTATACTGAGGAAAAGGAGGGGGAGGGGGAGAAGGGAAAGGACTGTGGGAGTCCTTGCTGCTGTCAGCCTGGGCATTCAGGCTGCGAACAGGAGGGTGGTGACTCATCCCCAGCTCTTCTCTGCTGGAAGCAGCAGCCATTACCAACAGCCTCAACCGACACACAAGGGACGTGGCCAGAAGCCGGCTAGTGGAGACAGCAGATCCTGGAATGGTCATGATTGATGGGAGGAATTAATTGGAGGGTTGCTAGGGAGGGGCGAGGAGCCTGGGTGGGGGCAGGGAAAAGGTTCATAAGGTGGTGGGGAGCACGGAGCTTTAGCTCCAACAACTTTTTCCATTGTAATCACAGTGGGTGGTCAGTGAGTACCAGTTACATAAACAAGGACTAGATCCAGCATTGGTGTCCTGTTTTTATTTCCCAGAACCTGACAGTTCATTTGAGCTCACTTTAAACAGCAAGTCATGATGGCTGAGGTATTGGGCTTAGAGGCGGCAGATTTGGAGGCTTCTGATACAGCAACGGAGGCGGAGGCTGGACCAGCAGAGTGGGTGGTGGTGGAGGTACATCCAAAGAAACGTCCTACTGTGTGCCAGGTGCCTCGTGAAGACCATGGGACTTTGGCTGAGGGACAGGACGGTGCAGGGACTTGGTGGATGGGACCTTTGGATCCTGGAGACTCCCAGGTGGGGCCTACCACAGGGCCTGTATTGACCGCTTCAGGGGAACATTTTTCCCAATGGAGGGAACACTGCATCTCTGATTACGATAATTGGAGCGATTCCACAGCTGTGGGTAGCCAGACCATTGAGGTCTTACAGGAGATGTTTGGGGCTGCAGGGTTTGGAGGTCCAGTCCAGAGTAGTAGATGGCAGGATACACCTCCTGCATTAAGTCCTTCTCCGGAGTCACACCAGTGGGGAGTGGGTCCAGCAACAGACCTTCAGCCAGGAATGGGTGTGAGGAGATATGAGAGCCCAGGGCTCGAGGGCAGATGCCCAACGGCAAACACCAGAGCCAGCATGGGCTGGTCAGGATAATCGTGGCTTGGGTTCTGTTGCCGTGAAACCCAGGACTGTGGAGGCCCCTCAGCCTCTTGCTCAACCAGTAATGGGCATTGGACAGCCACAAGGACGCTGGGACCCACCTGCAATATGGGCGACGTTCAATGGGAGTTCAGGGAATGTGGCCCTATTCATTGGCCAAGTATTAAACCATATGGATCAATATGGGCACCTATAAACCTCGCAGTGGGATCGCGTGATGGCAGTGATGGTAGCAATGGAGGAGGAGACTGTGGAATGGATAGCTGATCTTTATGCTGAACATACTGCAGAATTAGGAAATCTAGGCCTTTTCCTGACTGCTCTGCAGGAACGCTTTGAAGATGGGACTAGGTCTTTACAGGCGGAGGGGGAATTGTTGGCCGCTAGGCAAAGTGGCCGGCTTGTCAAAGAATACATTAGAGACTTTTGACGTCTAGAAGGCAAGGTACGAGGATGGCCTGAACGTTTGCTAGTACACCAGTTTAAGGGGGGCCTCGACCGAACATTAAGACAAACGTGTGTGTGTGTGCGTGTACCCCGCTTGCAGGCATGGTACCAGGCTGCCCCCAAATTGGACAGCGAGCTCAAGGAGGGCAGGTTGTGGGGACCTAGAGGTCAGGAGCCTCCCTCTTGGCCTTTGGGTCCAACTGTAAGGCCACCACCAGCATCTGCGGCTCAGCAAACATCAGTAAAGACTTTGCCTGTAGGAGTTCCAGGAACGGTTACTCCAGTTAGACCACAACTAACGTGCTTTCAATGCGGGAAACAGGGCCATCAGGCCACAGAGTGTCCTGCAACGAGTCCACAAGTGTCCTCCAAGAACCCCAGTCCTAAAGGTGGGACTGCACAGAAGACTCTAAAGACCCCATCAGAGATGCTACAGGAAACGAGACAAACACAGACATAGGCCCCATACAGCACAGCAGCTGACACGACAGGGGAGGCCCCAGCGACGAGCAGCAGTGGAGAGGATGGGGGAGTCAGACCCCATGGTAAGTGAACCTATTAGGCCTTTTGTGATCCCTGTAGTGGTGGAGTCATCCAGGCAGAGGCAGTGCATCGCCTTGGTAGACACTGGGTGCACGAGATGCCTCATGAGCACTGCAGTTGCCAAGAGTTTAGGGGTGGTCATCCGGAAGTTGATCAGACCCATTCAGTTTGAACAAATGGATGGTTTCTTGCTGGGGGGCCAGCCGGCTACCCATCTTACGGAACCAGTGGGTCTTGAATTAGGAACTCAACGTGAGAGGTTGAGGTTCGCAGTGGTCCCAAACATAACTGAGGAACTGGTGCTTGGTTTGGCTTGGTTGGATAAATGGGGGTCCTACGATCTGGTGTGTGTGTGTGTGTGCAGACACTTGTGCATAGGTCTGGGCCCAACCCCGCTGGGGCATGAAGAATGCAGCCTGGATCTGGCCCAGAGCCAAGGGGGAGGGGAAGTAATCAAAGCGGGAGTGCGATACCCTGCCTCCCCATCACCCCAATGATTGTGGGATTGAAATCCTTCCTGGGGCTGTTCTACCCAAACCCAGGATGTACTCAATAACCCAGCAAGAACTCAAGGAAATTAGGGCATACATTGATAAAAATTTAAAATGGGGATTTATCCAACCAACTAGTTCTAGGGTAGCAGCACCCATTTTATTTCAGGAGAAGAAGAATGGAGGTCTTCACTTATGTTTTGACTTTCGGGGCCTTAACACGGTGTGCATGGAACATGTATATCCCCTTCCTTTGATGAAGGATAGGTTAGCCCGGTTAGCTGAGGGTCGGGTCTTCATCAACCTGGACCTTCGGGAAGTGTACTACAGGCTACGAGTGAAAGCTGGGGACAAGTGGAAAACCACGTTCAATTGTCCCTTAGGCAGTTACCAATTCAGGGTGATGCCCTTTGGCTTGCAAGGTGCTCCCACGGTGTTCATGCAACTAATTAATGAAGTGTTGCATGAACACCTATATAATGGAGTCTTAGTATACTTGAATGACATACTTATCTACAAAAAAACTATGAAGGGGCATGTGACCTTAGTGCATCAAGTCCTTAAGAAATTATTAGATGCCCGTTTGTATGTGAAACTCTCTAAATGTGAGTTTCACCAGACCCAATTAGACTATCTTGGGTTTCATATATCCCAGAGGGGGATAGAGATAGACCCTGCAAAAGTTCAGGTAGTGATGGACTGGCAGGCACCCCGGACACGAAAACAATTACAGAGTATTTTGAGGTTTGCCAGTTTATCCCGTCATTTGCCCAAGTAGCATTGCCACTTACAAACCTACTAAAAACAAAACATTTGACCAAGAAGCCCTGTCCTGATGGTCCGTTACAATGGACACTTGAATGTCAATATGCTTTTGAGCAACTAAAAAAGCTATTCGCCAGGAAGCTGGTGTTGCAACACCAGCAGCCATCCAAGCCTTTTGTAATCCAGGCAGATGCCAGTGATGTGGCAGTGGCTGTGGTTCTCCTACGAAAGAATGAGGAGGGAAGCCTCCAGCCCTGCGCTTACACCTCACGAAAATTATTCGATACTGAAAGAAACTGGCCGATATGGGAGAAGGAGGCCTTCGCCGTCCAGTGGGCTTTGACCACCTGGAGACATTGAATGGAAGGGGGTGGGTTGCCGTTTGAGGTCTGGACAGACAATAAAAATCTAGAGGCCCCGCAGACCCCACAGCGATTATCACCAAAGTAAGTGAGATGTGCATTATATTTCCGTAGGTTTAATTTCATCCTACGGTTCATCCCTACAGGGAAAAGCTTAACAAATGCGTTGTCTAGGAAGCCGCAATATCACAGTACCTGTGAAGACATAGTAAAGGCTATCATTCCACCTGATGAGTCTCAGGGAATGGCAGACCCAGGGTCTCAACCGATAGCATGACTCACCCCACAGGTGGACACTGCGCAGGCCATTTTGGCAGCCTTTCCCATGGATCAGTTCTATATGGGTAATAAGTCATTGTTTACCCATAGGGATGAATTTGTCTGGAAGGGTCAGAAATTTTATGTACTGGCTGTTCGTGTGGATGTCCTACGACATTGTCATGTTGTCTGTTCATCTGGACATTTTGGATTTGTAAAAACCCTTCACTTGTCAATCGACAGTTTTGGTGGCAACAGACAAAAAAAAGATGTGAAAGATTATGTGCAGAGTTTTACAATATGTACAACCATGAAGGCATATCCTGGCAAGCCGGTCAGTCTGTTACAACCAGTGGTCAATCCGGTACGGCCATGGGACCAAATTGCAATGGACTTCACTGTGGGTCTGCTGGACAGTAAAGGCCACACTGTAATCTGGACCATTATAGATTTATTTTCGAAGCAGGGACACTTCATAGCCTGCTCTGGCCTCCCTTCTGCGAAGAAGTTAGCTAAGATGTTCATAAGGCATGTATATCACCTTCATGGCATACCGCAAAGGGTAATATCTGACCGCGGGGTGCAGTTTACCGCCCGGTTTTGGTGAGAATTTCTGACTAGAGTCGGATCAACACAAGGTTTGAGCTCCACATTCCATCAAGCCACTAATGGGGCTGCAGAGAGAACAAATGCCATGGTAGAACGTTACTTACGTTGTTATGTATGCTATCAGCAGAACGATTGGGCGGATCTCCTTCCATATGCTGAAGTAGCATACAATAACGCCATGCAT